CCCCAGCATCGAATGTTGTCTCTCCTTGCTGAGGTTGACTGCACAGCAATGCCTTGTCTGTGCCAGGAAGCACACACAACCCTGCCTTCCCAGACTCTCCTTCTCCAGGAACCCCTGCTTCTCTTCTCAAGGAGCTGCTCCTGCCCAGCACCATCTCCCCTTGGCTAATTCCCCTTGTGGCCCCTCTATTGAACTGTTGTGTTGTCCATTTCCCTGTGACAAGGGCTCTGGTTACAGAGTTATTGATTGGTTTCATGCAGACAGATGGGCCCTTCCTGGCTCCCATCGAAATCCCTGGCTGTATGGGCTGATTGTTGCCTCTCAGGGTATAGGATTGCACCAGAGACCACCCTCCACGCAGTCTCCTTTGCCCGGGCTGTGGATGGTAATAAATGGAGTCAGCCTGAGCAATAATGAAAGCAATCCAGTAGGGTTACCTGTGCAGACACAAGATTTATGCCTCTTCATATTTGATGTGATTGTTTTATTGAGTTCTCAGAACAGTTGGGACTTTATTTGCCTATTTGGGGGTCCCCCCTCTCATTTCCTCTTTACATCACCTTCTAAACCCAACCTGGAGTTTTTCTTAATATAACCCCTCATCTTTACTTCTCAAAAGTTGCCAACTGAGGTAGGAACTCAAGGCAACCAACCACTGAAAACCCACAACCAACCAGCAGGGAATAGTCAGACCCAGGAGCCCATCACAACCTTCCAAGTTCGATCCCGGAACCCACATGGTAGAGGAAGAGAACCAGCTCCCACATGTTTTCCTCTAACCAGCATCTGAGTATTGTGCTAGGTGTGTCCCAAACACACACACACACACACACACACACACAATCAATCAATAATAAATAAAAATTTGAAACATTAAAAACACAAGAAACAAATCAGCAACCATGCCTGTGTCACATGCCTCTCTGAATATGGGTGACCAGAACAGCAGAGACTCCCTCTAGGAAAATGGGCGAGCATGTCTTTGAGGCAGAAACCACAGAGAAGACACTACTTGCAGCCCCTGTCTGAGAGGCCCAGAGCCGCAGGACAATTTTCCGTCCTTATTTTTCTCATTCCTCTTTAGGTTGAAGCCCTTTTCTTAACTCACTGACTCACCCTGACTTTTTGCCTGTCACCAACAGTGGTGCCTAACAAACAGCTACAAAGATCTAGAGATGTGGCAAGCAATGCCCTAGCTTCCATGCCAAGCCTGGTCCAAGAGGCAAATCTAAGTGATCTAGATCTGAGTTTCAGAGGCAGAAACAGATGTGTTGGTCTAGGGTGTGTCTCCAGAATTCCCACGGCTGTGGTTAGTGACCATCAGCTTACTTGCAAAAACAGGTGACAAACCACTGCCCACCGCCAGACCAATGATAAACTCCCGAGAATTACACAGTAGGGACGCCAGAGTGACACAAACTGGCGTTACCTAACCCAGCCATGAGTCTGCAGCCGTCTTGAAGCCAGTGCTGCCACTGCAAGGAGGAATGTGCTCACTTCAAGTCAAACAGGCTAAGGAAGAATACAGGGGTGGTGGGTGATTGGTGAGCTCCGAGAGTCCACTGCAAAGGGTACAGAGTCCTTGGCCCCCAAAAGTGCTGGCTAATCTCAAGAGGTTCATCAGCTAGTTCAGAGACCACGCCCAGAGAGTCTTCAGCAGCCCTAGACTCCACCTGGAGTTCCTGCTGTTCTCTCAAAGAAGTGGTCTCTACCCAGGGCAACAGTCCAACCTGAAGACTCAAGTGTGTATCAGGAAAAGCCTTCCTGCTTCATCAATACTCTACTGGATGAGGCAACTTGCCTCCTCCTTTGGTATGCGGGTCTTCCATCTCTACTCTACCCATAGGACATTTCCCATGCCAGGTTTCAATCTAAAATTACCTGTTTACAAACACTGTACCCAGCAGTGGTGCCTCAAAGCTGAAGAGCTGGCAACTCCACTTTCAGCTGTAAGTAGCCCAATATTTACAATGATTCAGTAAATTCCACTACCTGGTCAGAACTGAGATTTTAGCCAATGGTCTCTGGGTGCGGATGGTTCTCTATCACTCCTTTGGCCCAGAGAGGCATTTCTATGAGGATTTTCCAGGGGGAGGACTCAGGTTGGACAGCCAGGGTTTTATTGTGGCAGGGCCAGAGAATGCCAAAGCCATTTTTAAAGCATGGAAAGCAATTTAGTTTATAGCCATAACAGCATATTTCCAGTGTGGCGACAGCATCTGTTTGGGGGAGAAGACGAAAACCTTTGGCTCAGGTGGGTGAGCAGGTGTAGACTTCCTTTCTTGCCAGCCCTGGCTCCTTAGCACCCTTACTTAAGACATGTATGCATGTACGTGTGTGTGTGTGTGTGTGTGTGTGTGTGTGTGTGTGTGTGTGTCAACAATAACAACAATACACGTGGACACCCTACCATCCCCCAGGCTCTGGACTCAGGAACTCCCTGCTTCCCAATGCACACCACTCTCTATATACAGGAAAATCTCCAGCTCCTTCCTACAGTGAGTGAAAATTCTCTGAACAGAAAGGCCCAAGTTCCTGATACAACCTGCAGGAACGCCACACCTTTATCAGGCATTTGCAAGAAACACAGCTCCAGAAGAACCTTCCCCTTCAAGGCAGGGTACCCACAGGAATGATATTGATGATTGGGGTGCCCAAATGTGTCCCAGTGAGACTCTAGAAAGCCCCAACCAATTTTTCCAAAGTATCAACCATGGGAAGATTCCTCCCAAAGCAAAATTAAAAACAGCCTGATAGATCCTGTTGACAGATTAAGCCTTGAAGCCCAACTGCAGAGTCACGGCTGCCCATGTTGCTGGTTGGTGGCGTCCCTGCTCCTGGTTCATGCTCCATCCACCTTCAGCAACGCCTACTCAGCAATGCCTCGTTTTTCACACCCAAAGGAAGCCTGTGTGTACCTCAGGTAACAGGTCCCTGTGACCGGCAGCCTCTGTGGCTGTCAGAGTGGTTGGGCTCAGGTCATTCTTTCCCCAAAGCTCGTTTCATGGATAGCCAGCTAGTCCACTTTCTTCCAGTTTGGTAGGTGCACATTCAGACTCTGGAGTTTGATGTTAAGGTCACTTGTCCTCTGTACTCTAGGACTTTTTTAGGATGAAACATCCTCAAACTTGTGTCTAAACCAGCTCTAAAAATAGCCCGGCCATCCATGGATGTGTGTTGGAGGGGGAGCAGACAGGGAGGGGGTGCTAGTCAAGGCTGCCACCACACCCCACCCAAATAAAGCAAATCACGGTAACTCTGTGTGTCTTAGACTCTCCCAAAGCTTGCAATTCCTATCACAGACAATAAGTATCTCCAAAACAATCCCCAGGGCACGGTGCCATTACTCCTCATCTCAGCAACTCTTGGCTCAGATACTGTCCTTCCAAGACCTCAGTCTATCTCACCGTGAGGACCACCAGCTGCTCTAGAGGCAAAGTCTCTGGGTGACTCAGAAAAAAAAGTATTGTCCCCTTCCCCTCCCTCACTGTCACACCTGCCCCAGTACCCAAGCTCCCCCAGCCTCCTGACTTTTACATGCAAAGCATTTACTGTTTTCTCAAACCACCCAGTGTTTTTCTCCAGCTCTTTTGGAAAGTATCTAAATGTCAAACAGCCGCACATTTCCAGTGCCTAGCTGAGCCAGGCCCAGGGAACTGGAGAGTTTCGGAGGGTGTATAATTAGCCGATCAGTATTATGTTGCCCTGTTCATAACTGAATAACCATTTTAATACAGATGGCACACACTGGGATAATTTCTGGGGTCGCCTTGCAGTACGTTACAGCAGGAGTGTGGCAGAGGGAATCTTCTTTAGCCAAGGTACATTCTACCAGCTAATTCTACCTGCTGTTTTCAGGATGATTTGGGATAATTCCATATCATTTGCAAAATATTAAAAAAAGATAGGTGATGCTAGTTGCCGAAAGAAACACCATCTGAATTATTAGTTGTCCTGATAATGGGCCTATGAAGAGTACAAAGAATAACAGAGTATGAAACTCTTAACTGTCTTCTCATTTGGGGGTGCCTGAGAATGGAGGGACCTGCTTCGGACTGCGGTGTGACTTTTGCCGCCCTGACTCTCTGCAAACAGTGGTCAGGCTGTAACAATTCTGCAACTATGGAGCCAGTTTGGGATTCTGGGATTTAGTGCTGCCTGAGTGTTCTGTACACCCCAGGTTGATACCTGGCACGCACTGGCTGGGTGGGGCACATCTGCATAAAGCATGACTGTGTGATCTGGGGCTTAAGAGACCCAAGTATCCTGCAAGTTGACTAGAACCTGCGTGGCCCCAGTGTCTGAACCCATCAGTGTGGAAAAGATCAAGATAGGCATGCTTGCTGGTGGGGGCATCTCCCAAGAGTCGGCCACAGGCACCCAGCTCTCACTCCCTGCCTCGAATCCCGCATCCTTGTCCAGCTCCTCTACTCCCTGCCAAGTCCTGGCTGGTGGCTGGCATCTGCTCTGTAGGCCTGGATGCCAGTACTTCTCGACCGGAAATTTGTGTGGAGCTGGCTAGCAGGACCTGGGCTCCTGGGAGGCAAGCTCTGTGGGAGTTGGCTGAAAGGGTAAGGGAGTCGGGAATCTGGCTGCCCCTGGGGAAGGGTACATGACTTTAGAAAGAAAACTCTGCTTGGTAGCGGTCAATAGACAGTGGTCATTTTAAAAGCTTTGCTATGGGCTGTGATTGTTTCTAGATCCCGAGGCGGGTAATCTTGGAGTCTTAATTACCACAAACACTTGGATTCATTTCCAGGACACCGGCGGGAGAAGCCTGGCAGAGAAAACCCAGCCCTGAACTGGAGAGAGCCCTGTCTGTCTGTCTGTCTGTCATTTCTGCCTCTCAGGTCCACTTTCCCTGCCCAAAGACTTCAGGCTGGGAGCTAGAAGGAAGGGTAGAGGCTGGACAGGGCAAAGATGGCCCTGGGAGACGGCCCAGCAGGCGGGAGTAGGGAGCTGGAGCTCTGCCCTCCAGACCCAGGGGGGGCTTTGCTCACCTGTTGATGGATGAGACGCTGGGAACTGTGTCATTGTCGCAGATGCCCTCAGCTAGCAGCCGGTCCCGGATCTCCCAGGCGAACATGGTCGGGTTCTGTCGTTTGTATTCAGCAATCTTGTCCACCACTTTGGGCGTTGCCACCTTGGGCTTGGAGCCACCAATCACTCCGGGCTTGATGCTGCCAGTCTCGTAGTACCTGGGCCAGGAAGGCCGGCAGGGTCAGCAAGAAGCCGGTGGTGGCAAGGGCAGGGGGGCTGCAAGCTTCAGGGCTGCTAAGCCGCTCTCCCTCCCTAGGCATCAGCGTGAAGGGGAAAAGGCCCTGTGTAGCTGAGCAGACTCCAGAAGGTACTTGACTAGGGCCGGAAATGGGCATAGTAGCCGGACTCTGACAGTGGCTAGAGCCACCCGGAGTGGAAGACTGACTGGGGAAGCAAAGAAGGGCCCATGCTGGGAGAGCTAATCCCACCTGAAACACAGTCCCTGTGGAACCCAGACCCTCCTTTAGCCTTCCAATGCTGCGTTGTCCCATCTTGGGACCCCCTTCTTCCAACCCCATTCGCGTTGATTAGCTGGAAAAACTCCCTCCTTTTCTGAGTGTAGCCGGCTTCCTCGGAGAGTCACTGGGTAGACTATACTCCACCCTCACTCCAAGGCCCAGTCATCACTCGAATGCCCATCTCAAAAGGGGCAGCCAGTCCTTTAGGTCCCTTCAAGTGCGGACCTTCATTCCTGCCTAGCATCTCAACTTTTAACTAAAGCCGGGAAGGGACGGCAGCAGCGGGCCCTCACCTGCCCAGGATTTTGCTGACACAGCCATGGCTGACCCGCAGCTGCCGGGAGATGTCACAGGGCCGCACACCCTGGTGGGCCAGCTCCACGATGCGCTGCCTCACCACGTCGGGTAGGGGTCGGCCGTTCACAAACACCCCCCCAAGCTGGTTCACACCCCCGTGCCCTGCTGGGGAGAGACAAGAAAAAAACACAACACCCCACACACAGCAGGGACCGGCCATTAGTCAGGGTCCGAGGCCCGCCACGTGGGAAGGGAGCAGGCAGGGCTAAGGGGCATGTCCCGGGAGAAAGGTGGGCATGCAAGACAGAGGAGGGCTAGATACCAGACCCCGGCTAGCTGTACAGCCGCCTCTCAGACTAGTGCGCTGCCAGGGAGAGAGCCCAGGAAGAGTAGAGAAGCCAGGAGAGCGAGCAGAGGCGGGAAATGGAGAGGGAAATAACCGACAGAGGGGAAATAATGTCAGTAGGAATGGAAGTAGGGTGGCGGGGAGGGGAAGGACAGGGTCAGGGTCAGCATTGCTGCCCACTAGGAACCCGCCTGCACCGCAGGCTAGGCGCGGCTTGGGTATCACAAGGGCTCGGAGCCAGATGATTTTGGAGGGTGGGGGGTCCTCTTGACTCAGCTCAGAGGAGTCTTCCGTATAGAGAGGGACTAAGTCAAACGCACCCCCTTTTTAGCTTCGTTGCGTACCTCTCCCCTTGGATTTATTTTTAATTGTAATTGTACGGTTTCCTCTTTCCCTGTTTTTCCATTTTGTTTTCAACGGGAGTTCTTTCTTCCCTTTATGGTTTCTGTCTTCTGGTATTTTGAGCCGTATTTCTCCTCTGCATCCCTAATATCTAAGGTTTTGAAATCCAGGTGGAGAAGGAATGGCTCAGAGGTAGTGATTCGGAATCTGCTGCGCTCAGAGACAAGAGGCGGTTAAGACTCCTTCTCTTCCTGGCAGCCGGCAGCCGCTGAAGAATGCTGGCTGTTGGGGTTCTCTGCTCACTGCTCCCGGCTGTCCCTCCCAGTCTCCCCCAACCCCAGATGGCTTGGTAGGGACCCCACCTGCCGGCTTAGGACTCAGAGACACTTGGTGTTGCAGTCTAAGCCAGTTCGGGACCCTCTGACCTCTCATTCCTCGGCAGCTGTCCAGGAAACCTAACAGTAAAGGCGGATGTTCCACCGGCCAGAGCAAAGCCCTTGATTTCCAGTCCCACTAAGTGGGGGCTCCCAATCTGGAAGCCGAAAAGCGCACCCGGTGCCAGGCTCGTGGCCGCTGCCGATTGTCCCATTTTCCGCGGCCTAAAGCAGCCTAGAAACCCTGCACCTAGAGCGATTGATTAACCTACAGCTGCAGTTCCTCAGCAATCTAACCGCAGAGACTTCTTGCCGCAGAGTCAGGCCAGACAAGGTCGACAACCTGCAGCCCATGGCCTCAAACGAGTTTCGGAGAAAGCGGGCTCTCTCTCCCATCTTATTCTGGGGAGACCAATACAAGCTTGGGAGAAGCCCCTGGACCGAGGCCTCTAGTCGAGAGGCTCCCGGAGGCCAGCACCTCTTATCTTACACCTCATATCCCCATAGTCTCCCCATCCTTGGTCCCGCTCTTCTCCCCTCCCCTCCCTATAAACCCGGACATCAATAATTTAGGCCCCGGGAGAACTCGCGTTACCGGTATGAAAAGGCGGCAGCTGCGGGCAGATTAAAGATGAATAATTCAGCCTCACCGGGCTCCGGGCCCGGCCCCTCTGCCCCAATATCTGGGATGGGGATTGCAACCCGGCACGGCTGGGGTTCTGAGCCCACGGTCCGAGGAGGATCCGCGCTGAATCAGGCCTGAAATATGCTACTGCCGAAGGCGCGCCGACCCGGACTGCAGCTGCTCGCCCGCCCGCCAGTCGGCTGCCTTGCCGGCCTGCATAGTACCCCTCTCCCTTCCTTCGACCATTTTCTGCTGGGTTTGCTCCCCTTTTGGTTTCGAAGTGGTTCCCTGAAACTGGCCCTGACTGGCGCGTCCCGGAAGCAATCCTCAAAAGAAAAAAAAAAAACCACCACCACTGAGAGAGGCGGTGGCAGCAGGGCCTTGGTGAACCGGCCGGCGGGTGGACTCTGTTTCATTCCCTCCGAAAAAGAGCTAGGCTTCCCGGCCGGTTGAGACACAGTGGCCCGAAGTCTCTCGCTTGGGTTTCCTTTACCTAGAAATTATTTAGGTAACTGTATTTTATTCCAGGAGTTTTTTAAAAATCGTCCCATAAAGTTAAAGGTGTGCTTAGGGAAAAAAATAAACTAAACACGGCTCTCTCTTATTGGATCATATTTTACAGCCCAGATCAAGGCTAGGTCTAAAAAGTTACCTTGTGGAAAGTTACAAATTATCCTTAATTATTAATCTATAGATGGGAAGGACTATTCAACTTAGAATATTATTTATCTTTTTAAGCAAAGGAAAATATCTGACAACTAGTTTTCCAAGTTAAAGACCTGGCATGAATTAGATAAATTCAAAATTCATTAAGATATTTTCCCATTTCCTATTTTTCTATTTATTCCCCCATAAGATCCTTTTAATTTTCTTTCCTTGATTTCCCTCTCTTGATTTGATTTCTCTTCTCCTTAGCTTTAGCATTTGCCTTTCTTTTGTTCTTTCCCTCTCGTTTTTTTCCATTCTTGCTGAGTCCCCTGGTCTGGGCGCTGGCTGTATGGCCCTCAGCAGAGAGTGGAGGGAGGCAGGCAAGGAAGTCTCCAGAATACCCGGGAGCGGGCTTGGGAGGCTCTACTACTTGCTTTCTCCCTGACTTTGATTTCTTCTCAGAACCCCTTATTGTTTTTAGAACGACCACCTCCCTGGGCAAAGCCAAGAAAAGTGACCACTTTCTCCTGCCAATCTCATGCTCCCAGCTGGAAGGGAAGGGGGGAGGTGGACAGGTGAAGATGAAAGAAAGAGGATGGAAATATTTCAAACCCGTCCCCACGAAGCCTTGACTAAGCTGGAAGGAACCGGGGATGCTGTGAGCTGAGGCTCAGGAGGGGGTCACACCCCCAGGAGCTTCTGCATGGCTGTCCTGACTCCAAGGAGTTCAAGCTAGGAGTCTCCTCCTGACCATCAAACTCTTAAGTTTGAGAAAGGTGAGAGAGAGAGAGAGAGAGAGAGAGAGAGAGAGAGAGAGAGAGAGAGAGAGAGAGAGAGAGAGAGACCCCGAAAACTGTCAATTAATCCTCCAGTAGTTCAGGGCAAAGGCTAGGGAGTCGTGGGTGGCTGAATCCTAGCTGGGCCGAGGGCTATGAATCCCGCGAGGTGAGGAGGAGCAGGTGGAAGGAGCAAAGGCGGGCGCAGCACTAGGGAAGGTGGAAAGGCAGACAGAACGATACGCATGGGGCGGTGAAAGCAGGAAAGAGAGCGGCTGAAAGGCTTGAGAAACACTAGGTAAGAGAAATAGGCAGGACGCGAAAGGAGGGGCCGGGGGAAAGCCCGTGTGGCTGGCCTCTAGGATGAGACCTGAGCGCAGGGGGCCGGGCCGCGCTGGGGCTAGCTGGGATTGGAACCGAGACAAGAGCCGGGCGCCGGTACTCACGGTGCATCGCGGAGAAGGGGTCTGCTTTGCAGTGCATATCCATGGGGAGGCAGAGGAGCGGGAGCAGCGCGGCCGCCGCCGCCGTGTCGCCTCTCAAACTCAACTTCAGGACTTGAGGAGAAAAGGAAGGGACGGTGGGGGAAGGAGGGTGAGCAGGTGCCCGGCTCCTGCGGGGTACGCGAGGGTGGGGGGTGCCGCGCTGTGCTCCCCGCCGGGACTCCTCCGGGCCCGCCGGGGTTTGCAACCGCAGCGGCTGCAACTTGCCACCGTCGGGGCACGCGGCTGGGCAGTCAGCAAAGCAGCCCCCGGGCGACGGCCTGGGCCAAGGGGCACAGGGGGCGCATGGCTCGCGCGCCAGCTGCGGCCAGAGCTGAGGCCGGGTGGGGAAGACGGCTCACTCAGCTCCCCTGGAACCCGGTGGTCTGAGAGGCTCTGAACGGAGAGGGCTCAGGGCAGAGGCGGCCCGAGGGCGCCGGGAGGGGACCCGGGCCGCTCCAAGTGCCGGCGAGTTGGCGAAGTTGGCAGAGAAGTAGCAATCCCCGGGATGTCCAAGCGGGCGCCCGCAGGAGGGGAGCGCGCGAGCCGGCCCCCGCCCCCGGAAAAGGCAGGCGCACGCCGCGGCGGCCGGAGAGCCGGGAGGGAGGGAGGCAGCCTAGGAGCCGAGCAGCGCTGTGCTGGCCCCAGGTGGGTTGCGGCTGCAAGAAGACTCGGCCGGAGACTGGAGCCTGGGCTCCCGGTGTGTGTCTCTCTAAAAGCTGCAAAGCCCCCCTCCAGACCCCCTCCTCCTCCCCGCGCCGGGAGATGGATGACTTGTCAGACAAAGGCAATAGATTCCACCACTCTGTGATTCGCCAGCGCCGGAGCCCCGAGCTTCGGCAAGGAGGGCCCCGCGCCTGTCACTCCGGTGCCGGCGAGGGGAGGGCCGGGGAGGGGGAAACGGGAGGGAGCAGCGGGCGAAGGAAGAGGGAGGGTGAGGAGCGGGCCAGGGGGAGGAGGGCTAGGAGCCCGGGATTAAAACTACACTGAGAAACGAAACTCGCCGAGAAGATAAACGTTAGATAAGGATAAAGAGCGGCCAGCCTAATGAATATTCAGGCATCCACGGAGGGCCTTGGAGCGCGCCGCGACCCGAAGCCAGGCTCTCCGTCCTAACTCGCCCGGCCCTGCCATCCACCGGCCAGTGCCCGCAGATCCCACCGCCCGGGGTCCGCATCCATAGTCCTAACTCGGCTATCCCTAACGCCGAGCTCCCTTCCGTTCCTCGCGGTGTCTTCCTTCCTCCATCCCTTTCCCTCTGGTCCTTCCCTTTCGCCTTTCCCTCCCGTGGTACCTTCCCATCCACTCACGCCTGATTCTCATTCCGGGGCAAAGTGCCCAGCAGTTTGTCCCCTCCGGTCCCACACGCGGTGGCGCGCACCCCCCTCCCCGGAGTCTGGGCAGTCCAGGACGCTCGGTTTAGAATCAAGCTAGAGGCCTCTGACTAGGACCCACCTGCCTTGGTGGGACCAACGGACGGCAGGAGAGTCGGGGAACTTGGCTTCTGGACCCTCGGGTAGCTAGGGAAGGGACTGGGCCGGGAGACCGTGCGCAGCGGCTTGTCCGCAGCGGCGGCAGAGGATGCCGAAGCCCAAGGCGGGACCAAGACGCTCTCTCCCCGGCTGGAGAGAAGAGGAGGCTGTGAACGTAGCTGAGCGCCGCCCGCCGCTAGCTCTGCGGATCCGGAGCGAGCGCAGTCGGCGCAGCACGCAGGCCTGGCCCGGCTTCTATGGGAGCCGCTGGCCCAGTCTCCACAGCCTGACCCGCACTCGCTCCCTTGTTCGCTGGGGTCCTCTCGCACGCACTAGGCAAGAGAAGCCCTTTGTCTCCTAACTGGTTAAGTACAGAATATCCGGGAGATCTTTATGAAATATTTTCCCTCGTCTCATAAATCATCTTGGCACTTCAGCTGATGTTTTAACTCTCTCTCTCCCCCCTTCGCTCCCTCCTCCCAGGTTTCCCTGGGTCTGAGAAAGGGAGGCTCCGGGAAGCTGGAGCTGCCAAACACTGCTTTCTTGCCTTGCGGACCCGAGACTCTTGGCGTTGTCTGCAGCTACCGAAGCTCAGAGGAAGGTCAATGAGTGGGTTCGCGCCCATCCCTATAGCCAAAAAGCCTCAGCAGTAGCTGGGATTGGGGGAGGCACCCACTAGACTCAGTCGACTCAGACTGACTCCTACTGGGCATCTAGGACCCTGGTTTCCTGGATGCCCTTACTCTGAGTGGGTTTCAGGCCAGGTTCAGCCGCACAGGATTCTGAGCTTTCCATTGCTTGGGAAGATGGGTCCGCTGGGATCTGAGCCTTTGCCCTGTCTCTCGGAAATTCCTGATCCCGATCCGATTAATCCAATTGCAGAGTAACTGTTAGAAAGTAAAAAATAAAAAAACAACAAGGCAAAACACCTATCCATCTGTCCCCCACCGCCCTGTCCCTCGCTTCCCTTGGGTAGGAGACTGTTGGCTCAGGGGTCCTGCCGGGAAAGACAGTGCCTTCTTCCAAAGGCCTGCAGATGGCGCTCGCGGGTTTGCTTTGGCCTCACAACCCCAGGAACCCTCACTAACTTCTTGTCAGGAAGGGAAAAGGGGAAAACAGAGTTAGTCAGCTCCCTGGCCGCGGAAGCCAGGACCTTTCAAGTGGTAGTCACAGGAGTAGCCTGCGCTTCCTTCGGAAAGGTAATCAACTCAGAACTGAAGGTGGGGAGCATTCAAAAGGTTCCTATGGAGAGAAACCCCTAAAGGGACCCTTGCCCAGGTCTCCATGTGTTGGGTGTACAAAGTTATGTCTTGATAAGTCTGAACTGTTGGAGGAACAAAAACTAGTGGAATCCACACTTCTCTAGAACTCACTGTGTTCCTCTGTTTCGTATCCCATGAAGTGTGAACACGGACAATGGACATTTTTACAAGGGGGGTGTTGATCTTTACATTTTGTAAAGAGAATTAGCAATTTGTGAAGCGTGTTTGAAGTTGCACTCACACACGTACTCGTATCCTTCATACACACCCTCTCAGGAATGAGAGCCAGCGATTATCTATCTAATTTCCAGGCAGCCTCAGAAAGCCCTGGCAGACCTTCCTCCCCTTGGCCCTGGGACACTCACTCTCCCAGGGCTTCCTGCTCAGCTTCCCAGCCGGTCTTTGGGTCTAGATAATCAAAAGGCAATCCACCCTGCTGCTTCGGAAGCCCCGTTAGCCCCTGCACAGCCTTCTCTTTGGACTTCGGCAGGCATTGAAGGGCTGCTCAGACGTCCCTCCCCACTGGCCTCTCCCTCCGACTCTCCTTTCCTGTTCTTTTTCTTCTTCTATGGGCCCTGACAGAAGGGGAAAGAGTAGGGAAAGAAAAGAAGAAAGAAGAGGAAAGAGAGGAAAGAGAAAGAAAGAAAACAATCCAACCCCAAACACAACCAGGGTTCCGAC